CTAACAAAATATAAAACATATTTTCCCTAATACATATATATAAAACAAAATTTTTAAAAAATTTATATGAATATTATTTTGTTTAATTTGCTTTAAATTAAAAATTAAGTTAAAAAACTTTTAAAAAAATTTCCGCAACGGATTGGATTATTTAGATTATTTTATATGCAAATAGCTAACATGCTGTTAAGTCAGGCACATTTCAATTACTAAAAATTTTTTTTAAAGGAACAACAATAATAAAAAAAGGTTTTGTGCTGTGAACAAAACTCTCTTTTTAAAATACGCTCTAATAAATTAAAAATCTATGTATATTCTCCTTTTAAAAAAAGAAACAACGAAATAGAACGGATTTGCAGATGCTCTAACTCGTTACTAATAAGAATAAGAAATAATATTAACTATTTATTGGTTCGAGAGTGAGAAAGATTTAATTGTTTTTAAATAAAATTTTATGTTTAAATTTTATGAATAAAAAATAAAGATTAAAAGTGATTTGATTTAATTTTAAATTAATTAAAATTAAATAAAATTATTATAAGAAGTTAATAAAAAAATAAAATGGATATTAGTGAAAGTACAACATGGGACGGTGCATGCGATTGTACCGTATCATGATACCTTTTTAAGTTGGTTGAGATATTTTGCTAGCGTACACGTTTTCTTACGTGGAATTGTCATCGTAACAGCTATAGATGACAAAAACGGAAAGCAAGCTCTGGGGTGACAGCTTTCGCTTTCGAACTCTCCAGAAGTATAAGAAACCGTGTTCCATTTCTCAAAGCTTGAAGAGCTATATATATATATGAGATCCTCTCAACAGGTCTTCATTCTTATATGTGTTTACAGCAGCATCAGACGCAGAAACGAGATTGCCGTCGAAGTCGTCGGAGCTTACCGTTAACTGGGGACTGCGATCGGGACGACCTACGGATTGAAAGTTCGTTATTCTGTAAAAATCTGTATAAGTTGATAGTTTGATTTGATTCTTCAGTGGTTGTTTTTTGAGTGTCGGGGCATTTTTGTGTTTAATTCTGTTTAGGTAATGTGTTTAATTCTTTGTTATGGAATATGGATAGTTTCTGTTGCAGGTGATTAGTTTAGTGCTTGGATTCTGAGAAAATTGAGCAAAAGAGTGGGGAAAGTGGCTTGAGATCGTTCATTTTGTGAATAATTAAGTTACTGAGGATGTGATCAGATTCAGAATTTGTGTTTTTTCTTGGAAATTGGATCAATGATCAAGGACGTGTGGTTTTGAGATTTTTTTATTTTCTCGTTTTTTCTTATTGATTTTTAGGTAATCAAAGAGATCATAGGTTCTAAGGGGAGTGATTGGTATAATTAGATACGATAGAGCATAATCCTGAGGGACTTGATACAGAGTATCAGAATCTGTGATAGAATTATCCTTTGAGCTTGTATTGTTTTTGTTGTAGTTGTGATTGCTTCTTGCTGCTGCTAATTTCTGTTGTCATTGTTGTTGTTGTGCTGATTGCTTCTTCTGCTGCTGTCGCTACTACTAATTTCTGTTGTGGTTGTTGATGCTGTTGCTAATTTGTGTTGTTATTGTTGTTGTTGATGCTGATGCTGCTACCTATTTTGTGTTTAAAATTTGATGCGTAGAATGTGGCCCTTGTTTGGATTGTTTAGTTTGATATAGATTGTCATTCTAGAGCGACATTTGTTTTGTCTTCTGCCTGCCTTGTAAAGTATTTAACCAGTTTTGTGACAGCTATCCAGCTGTTTCTTCATTAGAAATCCTTGTTTGGTTTACTTTGTATCTAGTTACCTAACCAAGGTCTAGTTGTGAAGCCTTTAGGGCTATGAAGACAAAGTTTTACTTTGTGTCTAGTTACCTACAAAAGGTCTGGTCATGAAGCCCATAGAGCTATAATATGCCCCTTCTAGAGCTTGCCTTGTTTGTGGATTATTATTGAGAATCAGCGAATGAAACTATGCCACCCAGTCCATACCCTCTAGGTTTGCAGAACATTGGGATTGTTATATGTCTCCTGTGTCTTGCTGCAGTTTCCTGCTTTGCCACAAATCGATGAGTTGTTATTTCAGGCATCTTCTCTGGGACAAGATAGTGCCTTTAAAGATATGCTTGAGATGGACTATTGGACACATTTTTATCTCATATTGGGAACTGTAAAAAGCACGTTTTTTCTTTGTCATCTGCTGCACTGATTCTGTCATTGTTTCCAGAGTTTCCTCTTTCTTTTATTCCTCCTCCATTTCTCATCCTTGACAATCTCTATACCATTGCCAGTGTATGGAAATTCAATTTCTTATTCTGTGGAGGATTATGCTTGTTTGGTTTTATGGAATACTATGATCGTATGATGGAAATGCAAGTATTCTGAAATGGTGCCTTTTTTTAACAGTTTTGGAGGATGAATTCCACAGTACCAGCCTTGTCATTTGGTGCATCATAATTTCTGTTTTTGCTTTCTGAACATGGTTCTTTCCTAGATATAATATTTTTTTTGCCCTTGTGTTGAATACTTTTCCAACATCAATTTTTCTTCTAAATTCTTTGGAAGGTTGTGTTCTCCAATAGTGGAGACAGATATCTTCTCCTCTTATAGGGTATGGATCTAACTTCCGTTTCCCTAGATCTGTGGAATCACCATGCTGGTGGACCATCATGATGGTTTGACCATAATTCAAAATCTTCTGATGGTGGTCTCTAACCTTCTGTTTAAATTCCGTGAAAATTACTGGGTTCAGATGCTCTTAGTTCTACCTGGAGATATCAACTCAAGTTCTAAGGATGTGAACATTTTAAATTCTTGAGTAAGTGTATTTCTCAGAGGGAACTTGGTGCAGATTTGCTAATGGAGGTAGGCTTGCCCTTGTGGACAATCAGACATTTTCAAACACAATCTTTCCTGTTTCTGCGTTACTTTATTGAATGTGTTTGATTGTGTGCTATATTGCTTCTACCATAGGTTGGACGTCCACTGGTCATTTCCAGTATTGTTGGATTTGGTCCTGGAACTCCAAGGAAGCAAGTGATCATTCCTTACAATATACTGCTGGAGACACCGGCGTTCCTCAGTGCTGCACTGTTGTTATTTTTTGGAATGTTATAGGTCTACTTGTTTTGATGAATCCTTCTCTTGGCGTAATGCTGTTTGGAGCTGTTCAATCTACTTGGATTATCTTTTTGCTGATTTGGATTGGATTGCGGCAGTGTAGAAGAAAGCAACAGTATCATGGAGTGTTGCCTCGCTTGTTTGGGTGACTTGTTTGAAGTTTTAGAATTTTTGCTAAATTTGTTTCTACCTGCAGGTGCTAGGTTAATTACAGGCTACAGCTGCTAGATAGTTACTGGTTTCTTTTGGTTGTCAATGGCGGAAGTAACAAGGAAGCATTCTGGATGCCAAGAATCTAGTCTTGACCATGGAGTCTTTAAAGTAGAAGGAAAAGAGGCAGGAGTTACATATTCACAGCAATCTAATGGATGTTTAATGCTCGAACAAGAAGCAACTGATAACACTGAATTGCTGGAAAAGGGAATTATGGAATTTGGGTATGATCTAATCTTCTAATGTACTTTAGTTGTTTCATTGAGTTTCTTGTTCGTTTGTTTCTTTATATAATGTTCTTGTTTTTCAGTTGTTTGCACTATAGACGAAGGTGTCGCATCAGAGCTCCTTGTTGTGGTGAGGTCTTTGACTGTCATCACTGTCATAATGAGGCAATGGTGAGTTCTCCTCATATCATTAGATTTCAGGGATTATTTAAAAATTTATCTTTAATGCTTTGCAATGTGAATTTGCCACTTCTAGTGTAACCTATGATGGATCTACTTTGTTGGCTTATAGTCTTTGCTTAGTCCTGATATTATATATGATCCTAGCCATTCATTTTTGTTAAGGTTGATGGAGTTAAATTGTAAATATGCTGTTGCTGTGGCTCCTGACTTTGAATCAACAGCTTAGTGATTGAGAACTAGCTGGTCATAATCTATTAATCTTCCAACAAAACTCATCCATATATTTTTTTTTTATTTGTTGTGACAGAACCATATTAACATCGAACAGAAGAAGAGACATGATATCCCTCGCCATAAAGTCAATAAGGTATTGATTCATGACTTGAGTTGCTCTTATTTATGTGGTTCTTATTGAAGTTATGCTTCCTTTTCCTGATGCCTTGTGTTTGCTTAAATCTTATTAGGTCATATGTTCGCTATGTGATACTGAACAGGAGGTTAGTTTTCTGTTTTATTCATTTAGTTGGTGTTTTAGCTAATGTTGTAACTAGATTTTCTAACTGCTATTTATCATTTTTTCTTGTTTTCTGTTTGGCACTAGGTTCGGCAAGTTTGCATCAACTGTGGTGTATGTATGGGGAAGTATTTCTGTGAGATCTGCAAGCTGTTTGATGATGATGTAAGTGGGCTAATTTAAGAAAATGAAAATTCCAAGTACATGTTTGTTACCGTACATGGTGTTCCCCTGATTTCTGAGTCGATTACATCTGCACTCATCAAGTTTTTGGAATCTTACTTGGACTTACTAATCCTGTTTCTGCTATGTTGCAGACATCCAAGAGACAGTATCATTGTGATGGTTGTGGAATTTGCAGGTATTTTTAATTCCTCTGTTGTATATTTGATACAGTAGTTCGAGCAGAGATTCTAAATTTTACTTTGCGATTTTTGAACACCCAACTGCTAATGTGCTCATTATATGTCATCAACTCTTTTCTGAGCCAACATTTGGAAGAATCTGAGTCTGATTAGGAGATGCCAACCTTGCTGTTTAGTCTTGATCAATGTTAATATGCGTTTTAAGCAAGACAGAAAGTGGACAACAATCACTTTTTTTTTTTTCTGCAATTTACTTATGGGTTTTCCTTGGTTAGTTTGTCCTCTTATTAGTCTAGTTGTTACATCTAAGTTTTAAGTGTTGTCCTTTTTTTGCTGATATAAAAAAAAAATTTGTTGTCTTTGTTTTTTCAGAATTGGCGGACGTGAGAACTTCTTCCATTGCTATAAGTGCAGTAAGTTTGTTTGAAACACCCACTTAAGTAGTTTTTTGTTCCCCCTGATTTGGAACTTATAGTGTTTAGAACATAAGTGATGATTTGTGATCTTTATTGCAATAAAGGATGCTGCTATTCTATTCTTCTGAAGAACGGCCACCCATGTGTTGAAGGAGCAATGCATCATGACTGCCCTGTTTGCTTTGAGGTAACTTGCTGAAAGTGCTGACTTGCAGTATTAGAAATATAAGAAATCAAACTTACAGAAAGTTAAAATTGTTTGCAGTATCTATTTGAGTCAAGAAATGATGTGACAGTGTTGCGATGTGGACATACCATTCACACAAACTGCTTTAAAGAAATGAGGGATCATTACCAGTGAGTGTTTGACAGCTCAGTTCCATATTTTCAACTTGTTTCGTGTCTTACGTATTAGTATTACTGATGCCTCTGCCAATCACTGTTACAGATATGCTTGCCCTCTTTGCTCCAAGTCAGTCTGTGATATGTCCAAGTTATGGGAAAAAATTGATGAGGAGATTGCAACTACACCTATGCCAGAACCGTATCAAAATAAAAAGGTTAGTTTGCTTCCGACCTTTGCTCATGTCTTTGCAATTCTAATGTTCATTTTCATGGTACATTTCTAGCCTGGTGTAATTTTAAGAGTCCAATATAATGGTATTATGCTTTCTTAGTTCTTCAATTTGCGACGAAATGGCTTTCCAATCCTAGTTATGCTAATTGTAACACCCTACAGGTTTGTATCCTTTGTAATGATTGTGGAGCAAAATCTGAAGTACAGTTCCATTTTGTGGCTCAAAAATGTCCAAACTGCAAGTCGTATAACACTCGGCAGACAAGGGGCTAAAGTGGCAAAAGGCCAAAACAGGGGGAATATTTCTTGGTTCTGCTGTTGATTTTTGCACTTGGATTCAAAATGAGAAGAACGACAGATATATATTCAAGTCTTTAGCATAGAACTATCCGGGTGAATCAATCAACAAAGGTCGATGAAGGGTGGCATGCGTGAAGTACATGAATGTTCGAAAATGCCCATCATTGACTGGTTTAATTGTCATTTCAAGCAAAATAATGTAGCCCATTTACTGTGGACAAATTGTTTCTTTTAATAATGAATTAATTTCCAAATTTGCCCTTTAAATTGTGCACTGTTTACTGGTCTTATTACCTTTTTACATCCATTATCAAAATAATAAAGCTCATTTAACTGTGAACAAGCACATGGAGGGTGGCCTTCGCTTTGTACTGCCTTGTCCTCTCGTTGGCAACACCAATAACAAGTAGAGGGATTTCTCCTCCTCGGTTCACTCGCCCCTTTTCTTCTTTCTTCTTCTGCTACTTTTTCTTCAAGCTCAACTTGTATAATTTGAGCTAATTTTAGAGTCCATAGTAAATGGCTATCGAATGCAAAAAGATATACAGGGTAATTGGAATATCTTCTTTCCCATAAAAATAAAAATGGAAGTCGGAACTTCTTTTTTTTTTTTTTTTAAGATTTAATAAATATCTTCTTGATGCATTGAATTATAACATATCAACAATTTTCATGCTTGCTTACAGAAAAAAAAAGGAACAACTTTCATGCTCGGCCTTGGGATTGGATTCGGAAATCAGATTCGTTGCCAACAACTGGTCCATTTGAACTGTGGGAGAAGAATTAAGAGCATTCGTTTTCAAGATGGTATTTAGTTGAAGATTAAAGATTGGAAGAATAAATTACTATCGAAACAGGACAAGAGATGTTGATTAAAGCTGTTGAACAAGCTATTCTAACATATTGTATAGGATGTTTTCACTTATTTTATATTTTTTTACAATCCCTTAATAGCATCATCAATAACTTTTGGTGGGGTGGCAACTCTAATAAATAAAAATTTCACTGATTACGATGAGACATGATATGCACACTGAAGAGCTTAGTTGGATTGGGGTTTCGGGATTTCCAAGCTTGCAACCTGGCCATGCTTGCAAAACAAAGTTGGGCAAATGCAGGTTCCAACCACCTCATTCCATGAATTTTATTTATAGTATCTCTGTTTCTAATCATCTACCCTTATGACTCAAGGATAAAGCGCATTCAAATGATTAGATGTATTGAGTATTTTTTTTTTTTTTTGAATATATTTCAATTATTTATAAGTTAATGGAGATGGAGAAAAATGTTTTTATGGGTTTGAATGTGCAACTCACAGGAGGTGAACAGTCTTAACTCAGGGTCCAATGTCATTGGACTGGAATGAGTCTATTAAGATGTATTGAGTAATTAAAAACTCTCTTATCAAATAGTTATATATTTTTAGCTTGAATAATTGAATCTATAATAAGTAAATATTATTTTATAAGTTAAATTTAAATTTAAATTTTTAAAAAAATTAATTTTTTAATATGTTAAATTGATATAGGAGTGTACGGTATCCCTTAAAAATTATCCTAAGGAAAATTAATCAGAACGTGCACAAAAATTAATTAGGATTAACCATCCAAAATATATTGACTATATGTTTTGTTTGAATGGCAATGGTTCTACATAGTACAGACCAGATCTCTGCCAAAATACCAATTGATTAGATTTGGTCTTTAGAGTTCAGCTGCCTCCTCCGCTTAGCCCAGAAAAAGAATATCAGTGGGCTGCCTGCAATATGTTATGGACCTTTGTTAAGAATTGGGACCATCAATTGGCCCAAACTAAATTGGGATATCCAAAATGAAGCCCAATATAGGGGAGGGCGATCTTTGTCTTTGAGCATTCGGGTTTTGCACTATGCCACTATCCACGTAATCACAAGGTGGCCCACTAACAGGCTACGGTCCAGATTGGCCGGAGAAATGGAGCAAGAATAATCACGATACTATAGTTTAAATGTTACCAGTCAAATTGTAAATTTATAGTGATAATGTAGTATTAAATAATTATATTGTGATATGAAATGATTAAAAGAGTTTGTGCTTATTTACCTTATTTTGTAAAAATTAAAAAAATTGTCTCAAAATTATATTATCTTAATAAAACATTATAAAAAAAAAAAAAAAATACTTTAATTTATACTTTAAAAATACGATATATTAATTTTTTTAAAAAAAAGTTAATGAAAAGAATTAAATTTGAAAAAAATTTCCTAAATTTTAAAAAGGAAAATGAATAAATACTATTTTTATAAGTAAATATATAATATTATAAATAAATATTAAATAAAAATAAATTATATAACTACACATAAATTTTTTAATTAGTGATTATGTGTATCTAAATTAATTTATAAGTCTCTTGATATTAATATCTTAATTAAAGCCCACCAGCTTGTCTGAGATGGAGGATGAAGCTGTGAAATTCTACCAGAAGCTCCTCGGCACTGAAGATGCTAATTGCAGTAAGGTAGATGTAAATTGCTTGCAAGACTTGCTGCAATTTCAACTGCCAGCAGAAATGCGTAGCTTTTTGATCCAGCCAGTCACTGAAGCAGAAATAAAAGCTGTTGTCTTTAGCAGTCCTAGCAATAAATCACTAGGACCAGATGGATACACTTCAGAATTTTATAAGACCTCCTGGCCTGTGATAGGTGATTTAGTAGTAAGAGCAGTTCAGGAATTCTTTGCTACTGGGAAAATACTGAGGGGGATGATTTCTACTTTAATAACTTTGGTGCCAAAAATTCCAAATCCAACCAGGATGGCTGAGTTCAGACCAATATCTTGCTGCAACATGATATACAAGTTTATTACTAAATCCTAGCACAAAGACTGAAGAAACGCTTGGCTCATTTCATTAGTAAGAACCAATGCGCATTTGTGGAAGGACGATTAATGGTGGAGAATGCAATCTTAGCACATGAAATTGTGAAACACTACCACAAACAGAACCTTAGCCCCGGATGTGCTCTTAGGAATGATCTAATGAAGGCTTTTGATTCCATACATTGGGATTTTATTTTCCAAATACTAACAACTCTTGGCTTCCCTTGTCAGTTCATTCAATGGATGTCAGCATGCATAACTACACCAATGTTTTCAATGGCTTTTAGTGGAAATCTAGTGGGATATTTTTTTAGTAAAAAAGGCATTAGGCAAGGTGATCCACTGTCACCTTATATATTTTTGATCTGCATGGAAATACTTTCAAGAATGCTAAATCAGGTTGCTCTAGAAGGAAAACTAGTCTACCATCCAAATTGTGCAAAGGTAATATGGTCATCTTTGCTGATGGAAGCAACCGTTCCTTGGCTTCTGTGGACACTGTTCTCAAAGAGTTCTATAGTATATCTTGCTTGAAGGTTAACTATGCTAAGTTAGAAATTTTTTGTTGTGGAATCCCTGAAAGGGAGGTTCAAGATCTTACTGGAACTTATGGTTTTAAAGCTGGTACACTGCCTGTCAGGTACGTAGGTGTCCCTTTGATTACTGGCAAATTAACTAACAAAGACTTAAAGTCACTAATCTCCAAGATTACAGAGAGGATGAATTCCTGGGCTTCTAAGCACCTCTCTTTTGTAGGAAGATTGCAACTAATTACATCAATCATTCAGGGGATAACCAATTTCTGGTGCTTTACTTTTTTCTTGCCTAAGAAGGTAATTAAGGAAGTGGAAAAATTATGCAATGCTTTCTTATGGAAGAATTCCACTAATGCTGCCAAAGGTGCGAAAGTAAGCTGGGATTCTATTTGTTTTCCTAAACAAAAAGGTAGTTTAGGGATCAAAGGCCTTGCCCAGTGGAATGTGGCATGTATGATGAGATTTATTTGGATGATCTTTTCCAAAGCTGGCTCTATATGGGTTGTTTGGGTTAACATGTACTTATTAAAAGGGAAGAGCTTCTGGACTGTGAATATTCTTGCAAATGCCTCTTGGGGATGGAGGAAGCTTCTCAAACTCAGAACTCAAGCTAGAAGATTGATACGGCATAAAATTGGAGATGGTAAGGACACCTACCTTTGGCATGACAATTGGCAACCCTTTGGCCCCTTAATAGAAGAATATGGCACTAAAATTGTACAGAATTTAGGCATCTCTCTAAATGCTAAGGTATCTGATGTGGTGAATGGGAATTTCTAGAATTGGCCCCTTGCACGCTGTCCACAGCTTGTGCAAATTCAAATGGCTTTTTTTTTACAAGTTATGTCCAAGAGAATGAGAGAAGGATACTGTGATTTGGGCTCCCTCTTCTTCAGGCACTTTTTGAATTGGAAGTACTTGGAATTGGTTAAGGAAGAAGCAGATTAAAGCACCTTGGCACAGATTGATTTGGTTTTCTAGTTTAGTCCCTAAGCATAGCTTTATTAGCTGGTTGGCAGTACTTGATCATTTGACAAAAAAAAGTAGACAAAGACGCTAGACTCCAAGTATTGATGACACTTGTATCTTCTGCAATTTTACTATAGAAACCAGTGAACATTTATTCTTTCAATGTAGTTTTACAAAACAAATTTAGGATGCTATATGTCATATATCAGATATTCCCTTCTTATATTCTCGGCAAGGATTGTTGGCTTGGACAAGGAAAAGGATCAGGAGAAGGTCACACAGAATTCTTATTAAACTTGCTTGGAGAGGAATAGTATATCATGTTTAGAAGGAAAGAAATAACAGAATTCATAAGCAAAAATTTTAGTCTACATGGGTGATTATTCCACATATTCAATTTAATGTAAGAAATAAGATTTTGGGATTTTCAAAACCAAAATCTTCTGTAGTACCTATGTATATTGCAGTGTTGTGGGGGATTGAGGCTGTTGTGAAGGATTAAGTATAGTTTAAATTGTAGTTTTTCATTGACTATAACAACATTTTTATTGTTTTTTTGTACATTAAGTGATTGGATAAATAAAAATTTTACATTTTATCCAAAAAAAAAAAACTTAATTAAAAACACGCTATTTATGTTAAAACCAAACAATACATAGGAGATTATATTCATAATCATAATTTTTTTTTAAAAAAATATAAAAATTAAGATGTATTTTGATATATAAAATAAGTTAAACCCTTATTTTCGTCCTTCAACTATTGTACAAACCCTCGATTGAGTCCCTTAACTCAAAAAATCCCTAATTTGGTCCATACTATTTACCATTTTAGCCTTAACTTGATTATTTCGTTAAATTTTTCATGTTAATTGACGAAAGAAGTATTACATATTTAAAATTTTCACACAAAAGATTGACAACTTGGCAAAAAAAAAAAAAAAGGACATGGCCAACGATTTTTTCCATGTAATTTCAACTCATCCCACCCAAAAATATACCTTTTTTTAGCTTTTTTTTTCCTCTCTTTCCTCTTCCTTTTCTTCAACTTTTGCAAACCCAACAACCACTAGGTTTTTTCAAACCTAGCAAGCCTCGAAGGAGGCAATTTTGTTTGATGATGATGAAGAATTAATTGATGAAGAATGGAATTACATTTCATTGAGTTGATTATTTGATTTAGAATGAGTGAAGAAGATTTGAGAAAGAGGATGTTGCAGGAAGAATGAGGGTAAAATTATAAATTTAATGGATTAAATCATTATATTTTTTTTATTACATGGTCAGTATTTTTCAGCCACATCATTCTTTTACCTATCTTATCAATCTTATTTGTCAAATATGTGAACATGTCATTCTTATTTTGTCAAATAATATGCCACCTCAGCAAAAATTTAACGAAAGGATCAAGTTGGAGTTAAAATAGTGAATTGTAAAGACCCAAATCAAAGATTTTTTGAGTTGAGAGACTTAATCAAGGTTCGTACAATACTTGAGGGACCAAAATGGGGTTCAACTTATAAAATATTATAGTTTTTAATAAAATTATTTAAATACATTTAATAAATTTTTTATTATATATTAATAAATTTTTTATTATATATTAATAAATTAAAAATATTTAAATAATTTCGAGCAAAGTACCTAAATTTTAATGGCTAAAACCTAATTTTAACTCTTTAATTTAATAAGTTTATATGTTTTAACTATTTATCTTATATTATTATGATACTTTTAGTCTATCATCTTTAGGAATCGAAGAAAATAACTTT